GCTACATCCGTTTGGGTCTGTGGAGGCACCGTACATTAGGGTGGGAGTGCATGGCAGAGGAGGCCTGTGCACCTCACTGCACTGAAGCAACAGAGAGAAGGGAGATGAGACCAGGATCCCACAGTCCTCTTTGAAGGCAACCCCCCAATGACCTAAGATCTTATCTCCTAAGGGCTCCCCGCCGCCCAATAGTGCCATGGGCTGGGGACCCAGCCTTTAATAAATGGGCTAAGGGGGACATTCAAACCCAAAATGTAGCAATCAGAAATACTAAATAACTAGCCATACAGAGATACTGGGTTAAAAATAACAAACTAAGCACAAGCGTTTTATTTCGTATAGCTAAAACTCCATGACAAGGGTTTTGTTTTGTTTTAGCAAAATCTATAATAGGAGCTCTTGGGAAGAAAAGTATGACATCAGAAACTAAATACTTAATGGAGGGTTAGAAGACAGATGGAAGAAATTTCCCGGAAAGTAGAACAAAAAGACAGACCCAGAAATGGGAAGGAAGACAGACGAGATGTTCATCCCAATGTCTAAATAAGAATTTTAAAAACAAAACAAAAGTAAGAAAATAAGTCAAGAAAACACTCCAGAACCAAAGGACGCGACTGTGAAGAATTAAAGGACCACTGGGTGGCCATTACATCAAGGGTATCACTGGTAAATGTCTTAATACCGGGGACAGAGAGATCCTGCAAAGCCAAAGGCAGAATCAGGAATCACAATGGCTTTGGCCTCCTCAACAGCAGCACTGGGAGCTGGAAGACAACGCACTGTGCTATTCGTGTTCTTAGGCAAAGTGACTTCTTACCTAGAATTCAACTCTTGAGTGTTCAACGCATTTTCAAGCACTCAGGATCTGGAAGAGTTTATCTCCCGTGCACTCTCAGGAAACTCTTGAAGGATATATGCCACACACGTACACAAAGGGAAGGGGAGAAAGCACAAAACAAAAAACAGGAGATCCAGGAAACAGGCAACCCAACACAGGAAGGAGGAAAGGGAATCCCCGGATGATGCTGACAGGAAGTTCCAGGGTGGCAGGGCAGGAGGGAGACCCCAAAAAAACCTTCCCAAGAAGAGCACTTGGAGAGGAGCACAAGATAACTGGCAGTGTCTAGGTGATGAGTGATTCGTGAGAAGACCTTAGAAACATAAGTGCATTGAAAAACAAGATAATTGAAAAAAAAGGGTGTTGGGAAGCAAAAGCAATCATCATCTAACGAAAGGTTTAGCTTTGACTTACATTTTCATTTTCACAATAATGAATACACTATTGATCTAGCGAAAAATCGAACTATAACTATATTGGAAGCAAGGGAATTGTGAGGAGGGTATGTAGGTGTAGAGGGTACAAGTACAAAAAAAAAAAAAAGTAGCTAGATCCTTATTTCTCACAGTGGGAAATCAACGGCTAACGCCTAAACTGAAACTTCAGGAAGCGGCAATATAAACATGTCATTTAGAGATAAGTAAATTCCAAAAGAATTAGTTAAACAAGTTGAAAGTGGTTCCTCTAGGGAAAGGGAAACAGGGTGGGTAGGAGGCTGAGAACCACTTTTGGCTCAGCAAGCCTTACAGAAAGAGTTCCCTTTCTTCCCCTTTCCCTTGATGTTCTGAGGAAGGAATGCAGGCCTTGCATATGCTAGGTGAGCGCTCTGCCACCCAGCTACTCCCGCAGTGCTTTTGTTTTTTTATTTGGAGACAGCCTTGCTGAGATGCCCACGCTGGCCTCGAACTTGTGCCAGACCTCAGTCTGCCCAGTCAGTCGCACGCAGACGTGCACCGCCATGCCTCGCAGATTTACTTTTTAAAATATGTGCCTGTATGACTTTAATAAATTATAGGGTGAAAGAACATGGGCAAGGTGAAGGGTGGTGAAGCAAATGCGCTGAACACCAGCAGTGTGAACAGGATGTGCCACGTGTGATGTCAAGCTGCTGGTGCTGGATGTTGTGAGCAGTTGTGGGTGTGCACAGTACGCGCAGGAAGGTGTTTTCCTTCCGAAAGCAGCGTAGGCTGAGCATACCCAGTGCTGACTGCTGCCCCCGGAAGTCACAGAATCCAAGTTTCAGCTGCCTCCCCTCGAGAAACCAGATTCCAAGAGTGGTAAAGGTCTCATGGGCAAGTACAATAAATAAAATAGCTGAGCAGGCCTGGGTCTACAGCCAGTTCTTCAAGCGCTAATTTGAAAAAGAGCAAGGGGGCAGAAATGTAGTGAGGAGCACCAGAAACACACCATCCGGTGGCGGAAAGAGACTCTAGCTTCCAGCAGGACGAAAGGACGGGGCAGAGCAGGGATGCCTGCACTAGTAGGACTAGAACTCTGGGAGTCCTACTTTGGTTGTATCTCTGTGCCTTAAAGTTCCCCGGACTCAGGGTGTGGTGGCCCGCACCTGTTACCCCAACATTTGGGAGGCCGAAGCAAGAGGATCACCACAAATCTGAGGCCAGCCTGGGCTACATAGTGAGTGAGTTCAAGATTAGCCTGCCCTCTAATGCAAGACCCTGTCTCAAAAATAAATCTTGGAAATCAGTACAAACTGGGGAATTTCTGTTTCAAGATATAAAGACGGTGATTCCATGAGTGTGGCGTGTGAGACAAGTTCTGTGGTCGGTCTGTACTAGCGGCAGCAGCAAAGGGCCGTGCCAGACCTCAGAAATAAACACTCCTCGGAGGTACAGGACCTTTAGCAAGCTGAGACAAACCTTGCTCCAAGAGAACTCACAACACAAAGATTCGTTGGAAGAAAAACACTCCAAACGAGGAACGAAAAGACCCAACATGCCGAATCCCTTTTCTGCTACTTCTTGTTTTTCGATTCTGGGTAAGGCTCTCCCTGTGACTCACTTCTCACTCTCTAAAAGGAATTAACTAGGTGGTGGCAAGGGTTTCCTAACCTGTAAGAAAGTAAACTCCCCAAGGGCAGGAACCTTGCCTGTCTCCTTTACTGCTCTGTCTTAGTGCCTAGCACAGAGCCTGAGCATAGCAAGCGCTCAAGGTTTCCAAGGTTTCCTTCCTCTCTTCTTTCTTTTCTCTCTTCTTTCCTTCCTTTCTCCCTCCCTGCCGCCCTCTCTTTTTCCTTTTCTTTCCGGTACTGGGAACCCAGAACCTTACCTATGCTAGGCAAGCCTTCTACCACTGAACTACATCCTCGGCCCAATAAATATTTCTTAAACAAATGACAGAGAAGATAAACACAATCAGTTTATTAGACTGGAAAATGGCCCCATTCAGTGCTTCAGTTTCACAGATGAAAAGACAAAATCTCATGAAAAGAAAAGCTTGGGCCGGGGATTTAGCTCAGAGGTTCCACCACCTGCCTTGCAAGCGCGGGGACCCGAGTTCGATCCCCGGTACCGGAAAAGAAAAGTTTGTGGTCATCAGGCTAAGCAGGGCTTGAGCTGAGATTGAAGTCCAACCACTGTGAGAGCTCACGTGAGATAGATCAGGGTAAAGTACAGCAGCAGGAACCAAGCTTAATCTTTAAATATTTAAAGGAGAACTTCAGGGGAACCAATGATTCTGAGATGACTAGCGTCACTTGGCTGCAAAGCAGGATATAGTCAAAAGTACACACAATGTGGGGTTCGAGTCCCACCTCTGCTACTCAGCTGAGTAACACTGGTGTAGCTCTCCAGCCTCTGTTTCTTTAGCTGGAAAACAGATAATAAAAGCATCTATTTTATATAACTTTGGCTAACATTATTTTTCAAGCTATACATCACAGCAATCATACTGTTTGACCAGGATCTATTTGGCCAAGATGCTTCCTGAGTAATAACCCAGGTATTTTCCAATAAATACAGTTTGTTACTAATCATCAGTTTATCTCGCTGGCTGGCGCATTGAAATCTCATGGCAGAACTTTGAACGGCGGGTAAGTTTTGCTGGAGAAGGGCAGGAGGAAGAAATGGGCAGTTCAAATCTAAGCGGGCACACTACTCAGACCGTCCCTTGTGGCCAAGGGACACCAAGGCTGAGCCTGAGAATGACAGCCCGAGAGCCAGAGACCAGAGTCCACTGTCTGACTGGGGCTGGGGGGAACCTGCTGACTTCGCGGGTCGGTTTCCTCATCTGTTACCTCTGCTAACTTGGAGGCAGTGGGCTGCCACGTGAGACCATGAGGTGAAAAATTTTTAAGAATCATCAACCATCATTTCCACAAGTGGGAGATTACCATTCCTCTGTGTGTGCGTGCACGTGCGTGTGTGTGTGTGTGTGTGTGTGTGTGTCGCTGGGAACTGAGCCCATGGGCTCAACTGCATGCTAGTCAGGCACTCTACCACTGATCTACTTCCCCAGCCTTTAAAAGAAATGTTCTGGGGCAGGGATTTAGCTCAGTGGTGCCGTGCCGTGTCTGGCAAGCATAAGGTCCTGAGTTTAATTCCTGATACAGAAAAAAAAAAGTTCTATTTTAAGGCAGGGTCCCACTAAGTTGCCTAGGCTGGGATTGATAGGGGTCCTCCTGCCTCAGCCTCCTGCATAGCTTGCGTTACAGGTGTGCATCACCACACCCTACTATCATTCCTTTTTATGAGCATGGGTGAAGGAACAGGAAGCACTCTTACAATAAAGCTTGCCCACTGTTCTGGGCTAAGTTGTGCCCCCTCCCAAATGTATATGCTGAGCCCTAACTCCCGGGCTGAGTGCATTTCAAGATGGGCCTTTACAGAGGCTATTAGGATAAATGTGGTCATAAGGATGGGGCCCTGCCTCAACAGGACTCGTGTCCTTCTAAGAAGAGAGCCCAGGGGTGTATGTGCACAGAGAAAGGGCCGTCTGAGGACACAGCAGAAAGACCAGGGAGAGAGGCCTCAGGAGAAGCCAATCCTACTGACACCTTCACTTTGGACTTCCGGCCTTCAGAACTGTGAGGAAGGAATTTCTGTTGTTTTAGCCATTTCGTGTGCGGCATTTCATGGTGATGGCCCTAGCAAAATGGTGCACTCGCCTTACAATTTTGATTCTTTTTCTCCCTTTCCCCAAACAGGCTCTCTTTATACAGAGAGGCACTGTGCAGACCGAGCTCTTGGAGGCGTCTGGCCTGCCCATGAAGGGCACAGGTGGTGTGGCTCAGGGGCTGACCAGGTTCCGATTCCTGACCCATAGGTGAGTAGAAACCAGCTCTGCCTGCTCTTAGACGCTAAGTTTCTTCTTTTACCTGTATACCAAGACCTGAGGCTCCACCCAGTGATAAGCTGTAGAAAAGAGCTTTTCATCAGAGTAAAGGATGTAGGCCTATGATGAAAGCTTAACTTCCCACTGTGATATGTGCCGGGGTAATTTGCATAATGATTTCTTAGAAATAAAGGACAACATTTATATCTTGGTTGGGAGCTCCAAAATTAATTGTGTGGGCTTGAGTTTGAACTTTGTCAGAAATACAAAACCAAATCTGGTAACTGCCTTATTTATTCCTTACAGATTAACTTCACGGGTTTATTCAGTTAACAGCTTTTCTTGATCACCTATAACGTGCCAGCCTCGACTGTAAACCCCAGAGTCAGCAAGAGTAAAATAGACATAGATCTTATCTTCCAAGAGCTTGCAGTTGAGTGAGGGAATACAGACAAGAACCTGAGTGTAAAAACAAAACTCTTTGGACAGGCGCTGAAATCGCCATTGAATGTGGGGCCAGTGAACCTCCCCAGATACCTTCTACCCTGCTACTCAATGCCCGGCTGCAGTCACATCCCTTCCTAGGCCTTATGGAAACTCTATCCATCCAGGAAGGTGTTAGAGGAAGCCGCTGGCTAAGACAGTCCCCAGTGACAGCTGCCTTTGGGTGTTCAGCGTCTTTCCATGCAGGCTAATGAACTGCTTCTGATGAACAGATAAATGCAGGTGGGCATCGTGCTGCCTGCCTGATCCTCCCAGCAGGAGCCGCGCAAGTTTAGTCTCAGTCTGGGCACTGAGTGACCTACTGAGACTGTGTAACTCAGTGAAAAAAGCTTTGGATTCAATCCCTAGTACATCAAATCAGTCAATCAATCAGTCGGTGCTCCTTGATTGAACAACAGAGGTACTTCCCAATAAACCCATCAGAAATTGCAAATACTGTTAAATCAAAATGGATTTAAAATACCTAACCTACCAAACAGCATAGTGTAGCCCAGCTGACCTCAAATGCGCCCAGAACGCTTAAACTAGCCTCTAGTTGGGTAAAATCATCTAACACAAAGCCTGCTTTCCATAAAGTCTTGACTATCTCATGTAATTTGTTGAGTGCTGTAACTGAATGTAAAAAACAATGGTTTTAAGGGCCGATGATTTAGCTCAGCAGTTTGGTGGCCTGCCTCACAAGCCCAAGGACCCGAGTTCAATCCCCAGTACCCCAAAAAAAAAACAAAAACAAAAACACACCACTGTAAGGCTGGAAAACAATTGTTACACTGAGCGCTGTGTATAGAAGAGGCTTGGGCCTGCCAAAGACCACTTCAGTGAGCTTTCCTTTGGATTCCCCTCTGTCTTGGCTGGGCCTCTAGGCTGAGAGTTTGAGTGCAAACTCTCAAGAAACCCTGAGCCAGAGGCACCCAGCTAAGCTGCATCTGGGCTCTTGACCCACGGAAACTGTTGGCTAATACATGTTTATTGTCTTAAACCACTAAATATTAAAGTCATTTTTTACACAGTAATAGACAACTAATACCCAAAGGGCAACATTATACACAGCAATAAACAGCTAATACACGAGGCCTGGTTCCAGGGAGCCTTGAATTTTCCTTGACTTAGCTTTGCCCAGCGAAACCTCGGCCTCATTTGATCTTGATGCGTGCCTGTTCTCATGGATCATTCTGCACATTGGTAACATCAGTTACCTTCCGTTCTCCGTGGTTTTTGCTTTTCCCAAGTAACTGAAGATCAGTAGCAGTTTAGATTCTTGTGTCCCTGTTCAGGCCATGTGTTTGGCTAAGTGAAGATAGAAGCAGGAAGCCTTTGGAAGATTAGAATTGTGTTAGAAAAGGCTTTCATGAACCAGGTGTGGTGGTGTACACCTGTGATCCCAGCACTCGGGAGGCTGAGGCAGGAGGATCGCTGAGAGTTTGAGGCCAGGCTGGGCTACACAACGAGTTCAAGGCCAGCCTGAACCACATCACGAGACCCTGTCTCAAAAAACAAACAAAAAATGACAACGACGACAACAAAAAGAGATTTTTCATTCACGTTTGGTGGCTAATGATGACTTGTGGCCCTTAGGAGAGAGCTTGGAAGAGCTGATTTTTGGTCTGCACCAAAGTAAGGCTTCAGTGGCCAATACTGACAGCCTCATTCAATGCAAATTCTCCTTGCAAATTCCTTCTGGTGATTTCCCCCTTACCGTGTGAGCGGTTCAACCCGTGCTGGCGCTGGCGTTGTGACAGGCAGCAGAGGGCAGCTCTGGGACACAGGGTCACTTCAGAGGAAGGGAAGCTGATTGTTTTCTCAGGGCCCCTTCTCTCACGTTTGTTCTTTTCAGGGCCGCTGTAAGCAGGACTGCGCTGAAGTTTGTTTCCTACACGTAGCACCATTTATTTAAAACACACGCCACATATACACAACAAGCCAAATGCAAAGGAAAAAGGAGGAAAAAAGGCGGCCTAAGATCAGAGTCACTAAAAGTTCAGGCTAAGAATAGACAAGGAACTCTGAGAGCCGCTGGGCTATGTGACCTCCTGCAGGGGCTTGGCAAGGAGCCTCAGCAGCTTTGTTTTCTCTATGCTTTTACAAAGACAGAGCACTAGGCTGGGAGTCAGGAGATCTGGGGGCTTGGCTCAGCCTGTGCCTCTTCCTGTGATCTTAGGCAAGTCCTTCTCTCTAGGCCTCAGTTTCCCGTCTTAAAGATCCAGCGGTCGCAGTGGGCTCCAAGCTTTTCCGACTCCAACACTGAGAAGGCTGGCTGGAGGATCAGCAGACTTGCCTACTTGCCCCAGCTCTACCACAGAGGAACCTGATCTCCTCGGGCCTCGTTCCCTCACCTGTAAGATAAAGTGCTGTATTCATTCACCCAGTCGGTCCACAAATATTTTCTAAGCCTTTCTATGAGCCAGATGGTGGTACTGGAGATACGATGGTGCATTGAATGAGATGTGTTCCACGTTCTCATGGAATTTCCAGTTTACGGAGGGCAGACAGAAGAGAAGATGAACAGGAATCAAACAGTCACATCAGCGAAGGTGCAGTTAATGCTAAGATAAGCAGACGAGGCAAGGACCATACTTGGTCTCCACTGAGTGAAGGATAACCACGATCTGCTGTAATCCTGATGTTCTGTGACCTAACAGATGGTTCTGGTAGGTGGTGCAGAGCAACCCTTTGAGGAACTAATATCTAAGATTATTTTTTTCCCCCAAAATGGCCCAGCTTAGTCCGACCAGCCACCCTTGGGATGTGGGGGCCAATGAGAAATTGTTTTCCTAGAAACAGAAATTGAAATAGGCCCTGCAAGCTTGGGACAGTTTTCAGTAAATAAAATAGCCATTTTCAGGGACATGAGGGTGTGTGCGATGGCCCCAGTCTCTGCTACCGGACCATACGGGTGCACAGGCTGAGTAAGAGAAGGCCCAACTGGGAGACTGCCGTGTCCCACTGGGGGCAGAGGAGAATCAAGGCCCGCTTTTTGTCAGAGAGCAAAAGGCCTAGTGTCGCACCTACTCTGAATACTGTCCTTTACGGTAGGAGGCCTGCTACGGACGGGCTTCCTGACCCGGGGTGGCCACCTGGCCTCTGAGTCTGTCATTTCACTTGTAAGGTTAAGGGGCCAAGTGAAAGCAAAAGTACCCTTCAGGAACCCAGAAGGATGACTACAATTTGGTCCTTTGCAAGAGTTTTTTAATATTTCAGAGCAAAAAACAAGGTTGCTATTCTAGAATATGAGCTTCAGGATCCTAGAGGAGTCACTGTTTCCTAAAGCTGATGTACTCCCTTTCTTTGTAATTTTCAAAATAAAAAAGGTAATATGCATACCATTTTTAAAAATCAAATACTCTAAGGCACAAATCAAATGCTCAGTGGCACCATGCCTGCCTCGCAAGCATAAGGTCCTGAGTTTGATCCCCAGTACAAAAAAAAAAAAAAATCAAATATTATAAAAGATCACGCTATAATAGTCTCAGAGTTCCTGTTTGATTTTTGATTTTTTGAGACAGGGTCTAACTATGTAGCTGAGACTGACCTGGAACTCACTATGTAGCCCAGGCTGGTCTCAAACTCCCAGTGATCCTCCTGCCTCAGCCTCCCGAGTGCTGGGATTACAGGCGTGCACCACCATGACTGGCCTAGAGTTACTGTTTGAGATAATGAAAAAATTTTGCAAATGTTGGCCATGTTTGTACAATATTGTGAATGTAATCGATGCCATTTAATTATATGCAGAAAGGGGCTAAAATAGAAAATATATAATATCTTCAAAATGTAATATACCAAAAACTATTGAATTACTCACTTTCAATGGGTCAATTGCATGGTTTGTGAATGATATCTTAATAAGGATATAGTGTATCCCAACCTGGAGTTTCTGATCCCCTCTTCAGTAGCAACTGTTAGTTTCTTGCCTTCTAGAAATAGTCCATGCATGAACAAATATCTTTTAAAATTTATCGTACCCTTTCTTTTCATACAAACAGAATGAAGTGATGCATTGTTCCTCACTGTTCTTTTTTCCACTTAATAGTATATCTCTCAGGCTGTTGCGTATCAGTACTGTGCATGCAGATTGACTTTATTCTTTCCCACCTAGATGTGGAATCTGTAAGAACCTATACGTTTATTTAACAAGTTCCTCTTATCGATGAGTGTAGTGGTTGGGTCTAGCCTTATCTGTTGGCTTTGGAGACCCAGGAAATCACCAATAACAATAACAATAAAAGGAACGATTTGGTCCCAAGGAAACAGGGTCCCAGGAAAAATGAGCGATCCCGCAGTAACTAGAATCCAAGTCTCCTGACCCCCCGCCGTGTCATGCACTTCCAAGGGATCAAGGGACCAAAAGCACTAATGAGCTGTCCTCCTGGGGTTGCTCTGGGATAACTTTAAGCCGAAGAGTACTCTGAGAATGTGATTTCTAACATGTGCGAGAGGGCGGGAAGATGTGGGAGTACACGAAGTCCTTCTTCAAGGAGAAGCAGGGCACTTCACTCGGGCCTGCGGCTGAGCCTGCTGGGGTTGACTCCCAAGAACGTTCACTTCCAGGATGGTGCTCTCAGCCAAAGGCAACAAGCTTTCTGGCTGCTGCTGGCCCATCTGCTCTGATGAGACTCACCCGAAGCCTGGACTCCCATTGGTTTTAGTCCAAGGAATCTCCTGGAGGAAAGATAAGCAGCACTTAAGTCGCAGCTGTAGAAATAATAAGATCTGGAGGAGCCCTTGTATCTGTTTGACTGGATGAGATTTTCCAATAGGCCAAGTGTGGTGCCTCTCAAACTTCTTTGTGCCTTTTTCTCGCCCTGCCACACCCTCTCCACTTTCTGTCCACGATGGCATACTTATTGCTTGTCTGAACCTTCTGCCTTCCTAGAGCCTCTCATCAACAGGGTTCTCTCTCTCTCTTTTGTGTGTGTGTGTGTGTGTGTGTGTGTGTGTGTGCGCGCACGCGCGCGGGGAGTTGGTTACTACTGATTGAATCCAAAGTCCACATCGTGCTAAGCAAGTGCTCTACCACTGAGCCACATCCCCAGTCCACTGCCTGGGTTTTAACCTCCCATCGGTCCTCCCTTCCTCCCTTGACAGACTCATTCCCTCCACTTTTCCTTACCTCTGCTTTGGAAATAGATGCTTTAAAAAGATGTTTCCTGGCTTAAGAGGGTCTGTATGGAAGAAGATTCGGGAACTACACATCTGGGGCTTGAGCTCTGTTAATGAGAGCCCGGATTAACTGAGGGAAGTCAATGACAGGCTTCCGTTTCTTTATCTAAAATGGGTTGTATTCCCTTTGGCATTTCAAATACCACGGAGTAGATTTCTCTACAAAGAGCAGGCTCGGTCTAAAAACAAAACAAAACAAAAAAGCATACAAATAAGTTGTGGAACCAAGAGCAGAAATTTTCATAGTGGAGGTGCCAGGACCCCTCAAATTCTATGAAGAAGTGCGTTATACACATCCACAAGCAGAAGAATGAAACTAGATCTTACCATATCCAAAAAATCAACTAGAAATGGATGAAAGACTAAAACGCAAAACCTGAAACTGGGAAACAACTAAAAAAAACAAAACAAAACAGACATTGGGATAGGTGAGGATTTTTTGGAAAAGATTCCAAAAGCACAGGAAACAAAAGCAAGAACAGATAAATTGGATGGCATCAAACTAAAAAGCTTCTGCAAGATAAACTGAATGAAGAGACAACCTACAGTGCGAGGTAATATGTGTAAACTATACATCTGATAAGGGGTAAACATTCAGACTATGCAAGGACCTAAATAACTCAATAGCAACAAAACAAAAGCTAAATGATCCAATTTAAAAATGGATAACAGACATAAATAGGCCTCAAAGGATGACATAGAAATGGCCAGCGGGTATATTAAAAAAATGCTCAACATCACAAATCATCAGGGAAGTGTACATCAAAACCCCAGTGAGGGCCAGGGATTTAGCTCAGTAGTTCCGCCGCCTGCCTCATAAGCGCAAGGACCGAGTTTGATCCCCAGTACCAAAAAAAAAAAAACAAAAAACAACAACAAAAAAAACAAAACCCTGTGATATATCACCTCATTTCAGTTAGACTGGCTGTTATTGAAAAGACAAAAGATTGCAAACACTGGTAAGGATGTAGAGAAAATGGAACCTTACACATTACTGGTAGGATTGTGATTTAGTGCTGCCGTCATGATTCTGCAAGTACACTAATGGATATATATCTGAAGGAAATAAAATTAATACAAAGAGACATTATACTCCTGTGTTTGCTGCACCGATATCTATTCAAATAATAAAGAGGTGGAAACAACCTAAGCATCCATCGATAGACAGATAAAGAATACAGTATATATAGGCATATAGTATATAGAATATAGTGTATGTAATATATATAGTATATAGAATATAGTATATATAGGTATATGTAGTGGTGCCTGCCTATCATCCCAGCTACTGAGGGGGCTGAGGCAGGAGAATCACAAGTTTGAGCCCAGCCTGGGCAACTTTCAGAGAGACCTGGTCTCAAAATTTAAAAATTTAAAAAGGCCCGGTCATGTAGCTTAGTGGAAGGCCCTGGGTTTAATACCAAATCCCTGCCCCCCCCAAAAAAAGACAAAAACATTACACACACACACACACACACACACACACACACTCATACACACACGACACAATACTATTCAGACATACAAAGGATGAAATCTTATTTATGACATGAATGGAACTAGAAGTTACTATGTTAAGTGAAATAAGCCAGGCACAGAAAGACAACTTTCATATGATCTCACTCTTGTGAAATCTAAAAAAGTTGATCTCATAGTGGTTGAGAGTAAATAGTGGTTACCAGCTGCGGAGAAGCATGAGGAAGAAAGAATGGAGAAACATTAGTCCATGGGTATAAGTTATAGTTAGACGGAAAAAATAAATTCCGCCATTCTATTGCACAGTGGGGAAACTATTGATAATGGTAGTGTGCTACGTATTTCAGAAAAGTTGGAAAGAATTTTGAGTATTTTTACCACAAAGAAATAATAAAAATTTGAGAAGATATCCTTAACCTGATTTGAGCATTATATAACACGTGTGGGGGGGGTGTGAGTGAAAACATCATGGGGCCAGCTGTAGTGGTGCACACCTGTAATCCCACCACTTGGGAGGGTGAGGCAGGAGGATCAGTGTAAATGTGAGGTCACCTGCCACCCTGGGTTACATAACAAGACCCGGTTTTTAAAAAAAAATCACATAGCGGGGCACGGTGACGCACGTCCGTTATCCCAGCACTGGGGAGGCTGAGGCAGGAGGATTGCTGTGAGTTCAAGACTAGCCTGGGCTACATAGTGAGTTCCAGGTCAGTCTCAGCTACATAGTGAGACCCTGTTTCAAAAAAAAAATTGCATAGTATCTATACATATATATGTACATATATACCTGTATACATATATACATATTTATGTTAATTAAAGACCACAAATATACACACAATATTTATTTATTTATTTTTATTTTTTTGGTACTGGGGATCCAGGGATCATACTTGGAACCTTGTGCTTGCGAAGCAGGCAGCAGAATCGCTGAGCTAGATCCCTGGCCCTATACACAATTTTTAAAAGAAAAAAAAAAAGGTGTATTAGAATGACCAATGGTGAATGGCATCAAAAATCTAGCAAGAGAATTAGGTTTCAAAGTCTATTCTTGTACTGAGTAGACCTCAGTACAGGGGAAAAAATCCAGACCAGCTTTGATCCGCAGAAGAGGACAGTAAGAAGTCAGAGGGGCTCCGGATTAGATCACTGGCCCCTAAGTTTCGTGAACATCACAATGTGGGGCTGGATGCATGCGACCTTCACCAGGCTTTTAGAAAAAGGGAAACCATGAAATAATCAGAGTGATAAAGAAGGATCTTGAACTCAATTTTGGGAACGTGATCCAAGAAGACTTTGACAGGTATTAGAACGGGCACATGTGTGGATGTTTCTGCTTCTGTTTAAACGGTGGACAGTTATAGTAACAGATGAAACTTCTGCCGGTGTTGTGAAAACTTCACCTTACATGGCTATCATTAATTGCTCTGTCCAAGTGGTGTTTGTATCCCCCCACCCCAGTGCTGGGGATAACTCCCAGGGCCTCA